TTGATGAGGGAGTTGTGCGAAGAGGGGAAATTTCATGCGGGGGATGAGTGATGTTGGGGGGGGGGGTGGCCTGTCGGATTGGCTCTGGGTTGCCTCTCCCTCCAAATATATACCGGATATTGATGCTGGGGGGACGCGCATCGTAGTGGAGTGGGGGGGAAGGGGGGCGGCCCGATGGTTGAGATGGGGCGGGAAATGGGGCGGGAAGGTTTGGAGACGTGGTGGCAAAACACACACGCGGATGCGCTCGGGCTCGAGACTGGTGTTTGTGTGGGTATAGCGGGGGGGGGGATGGGGCCAGGGGGAAGGGGGGAGGGGGAAAGGGAGACTCTCACATACGCACACACATACGCACAGACGCACACACACATACACACACTGTGGTACATTTCCACTTCATCAACGACCAAAACGCCCTATATCCTCTGCTTGGTCAACCCTTCTGCTCCACCCTTCTTCCTTTCTGTTGGGCTCTGTAGTGCCCCCCCCCCCCCCTGGAGCACCCCCCCTGCTGGGTAATGGTTCCCGTCTCGCACGCAACCTTTCCCCTTTCTCACCTCCCCTACCTACCTACCTACCTCCTTACCTACCTCCTTACCTTTCCTTACCTACCTACCTACCTACCTACCTGCCTGCCTGCCTGCCTGCCTACCTACCTACCTACCTACCTACCTACCTCCTTACCTACCTCCTTACCTACCTCCTTACCTACCTCCCCCCCCTACTCCACGTGATTCGTCTTTCCCCTACCCTAACCGCCTACCTCAGTCTCGCGCCCGGGCGGAGCGCAAGGCCGCCGAGGCGCGGGCCAAGGAGGGGGGCGCCCACGCGGATATGGAGGGCACTGGGGACCTGGCGGGGGAGGGGGACGGCGGGGAGGGGCAGGAGGCGGCGGCGGCGGCGGGCGGCGATGGCGGCGGCGGAGAGGAGTTGGAGAACCCTGGGGCGGATGAAGGGTCGTTTGGAGCTGGGGATGAGGATGAGGAGGATGGTGAGGGTGAGGAGGGTGAGTACAATCGAAGTGGGGGCTGCGAGGGCTCCGGGAGGTGGGGTTCGCAATGTGAGCACATGCACATGCACATGCACATATATACAGACACACCATGTTCACACGTCGGCAATAGTATCATCGCAGAAACGTGAAAATGTTCGAATGGATGGATACCGATGTACCGCCCTTGTACGGCGCCCTTCCTGTTCTGTCCACCTGTATGTATGTATGTACGTATGTTTGTATGCATGCACACATACATACATGCAGAGACAGGAGGGTAGGAATATACATACATACATACATATAGCGTACAAATGTAAATACCGCTGTCGTAGCTGATAGATAGTGCAGGCACGTGCATTTTTCCCGCTCCGCCGTGCATGTGTTTACCATCTTTCTAAATGTATCTGTACTGCTGTACGGCACCCGTACGGCTTGTGGGAATGATCCGTGTGCCGTACAGAGGACAAACCCATTCAACGGGATGCCGCGGCGGCCATCACGGCGGACCAGCTGGCGGCGGCAGCCGCCACTGGCGGCGGCGGTGCCGGTGGCGGCGGCGGTGCCGGTGGCAGTGGCGTCTCCGCCGCCGCCGCCGCCCCCCCTGCCGCCACTCCTGCTGCTGCCGCATCCGCACCCACGCCCACCAAACGCAAGACCGCACCCGGCGGCGGCGGCGGCGGCGGCAAAACCGGCAAGCGCGCTAAAGCATAAGCGGTTGTTAGTCCAGATGACGGACGGCGCAGAGTGTGTTGGTCCTTAGGAATACCGCGCTGGCTCTCGCCCCCTGGGGTTCCTTTCGGCGACGGAATTACACACACACACACTCTACTTAGTGTGACTTTCTTCTTCAACTTGTAAGGTGTACTTCTCCCGCGGCTCAGCTCGATTCTTACATACATACATACATACCAGACCAGACCCACGACAAACCCAAAGGAGCGCTGTGGTGGAGCGTGTGGGGTATGTGGGTGCTTTTCAACTGATTGGAGCACTGCGGGGGGGGGGGAGAGGGGGGATTGATGTGTGGGGCGGGTATATATGCGTGTGCGTGCACGGCGCGCAGTGTGTATTTTTTCACATATTATTCGTGTTTTTGAAATTGGGCTAGCTTGTGTTCGTCAAGCGGTCCCCAGCTGCACGAATAGCGCTGGGGGGGGAGAGTGAGGAGGAGGGAGGAGGGGGAAGGGGAGGGGGAGGGGAGGAGGGGGACGGGGAGGGGGAGGGGGAGGGAAAGAGTGAAGCAGGCGCTAGTAGCGCGGGTAGACCGGGAGGCGAGCTGGGGGGGGAGGAAAGACCCCACGATGGCGGCACGTTGGACGAAAATGGTTTTCTCCTAGCCGTGCGTATGTATGTATGTACGTACGTATATATGTTGATATTAACATCCTGTGGGGGCCCTATGCTCCCAGGAGGTCAGGAAGGCGGTCGAGACGAACTCGGGTTTGTCTTAGGGCTGGGTGAGCCGGGGTCGTCTTCCTACTGCTCTCATGTCGCCTTTTTTACTGTATTTGTTAGCAGCAAGCTGGAGCCTCCATGACGGGAAGGCAGGCAGGCAGGTATGTGTGTGCGTGTGTGTATAGGGGGGAGAGGAGGAGGATAGAGAACGAGAGGGAACTTGGGGGGAAGAGAGAGAGGTTGCTCTCCTCACGTGCCCTAGCGCCGCCCCGGGTTTACCTGGCTATGAGGCTAGGTGAGGGCAGTCCAGGTTTGTGTCAGGTTGGGTCGGATTTGGTTAGCTTAGCAGGGAAAGCTGGCGACGGCTTTCATCACGCCGCTTCTCCCAGCAATCTAACGTAAGGAGGGCGGTGGCGATGCCTTGATACGTGGCCTGCCGATGATGCACTTGGCTGCCCAAGTGTGTGTGTACGCTTCGTGTGGCGCCGGTACGGCCTGAGTGTGAAGAGAGGCTCCGGGTGAAGAGAGTGTCCTGGGCTTGGGTGCAAAACTGAAATGAGCCGCGAGGCGTAAGGGTTGGAGATTGTGTGCGTATATATATATATGTGTGTGTGTGTGTTTATGTGATGTGGGTTCGTTATCCTGGAGCAGTTCAGTCCCTCCCACACGTGGGTCAGTCTGTCTGTCTGCCCGTCACGTGTCGCCGCGCTCTGGAGAAATTCGTCGTGTGTGCGGTATGGTGTATGAGGATCGTGCGTGACGGTGTTGGTGATGATGATGGCTGTTGTCTCATGCACTTGACTGCCAACACCGCAGAGTACAGGTGCACACACACACATACACACTTCAGACTGCCACCACCGGTGTTATGTGCTGCAACCTGGTCCTCTTTTGGCAGGTTCTACCTTATATCTATGTGTTCACGGCCACAGACGGCTCCCCAGGACAGGATAGGAGTTATCCTGGGTTCGCTGGTCACTCCTCTTGTCGCTTGTAGATCCAAGTACCGTAATTACGCCGTACACACATCATTGCGTACCGATGTGCAGGGAAGTTTTATATCCCCGCTGGCCTTCCCGCTTCACAAGCAAGGTCCGCCTCTGGCTGCTTTGGAAAAGCTGTATGATACTAATGCAAAGCCACAGCAGTGAAAATAGTTCGTGCTTGCCGTAGTCCTTGCCCCTTAAAGCAAGGGAGGCAGACGTTGCCAACCGTGGTTTAGCCGCATGCATTCATGTATGTACTCACAAACAGACGCCCCAAAATAAACCAAACACGGTTTTGCGGAAACGCATGCAGCTTGCAGTTCTTATGTGTACGCAAATTTGAATCATACACACGCACCCTTTCCCAGGTCCTCTGCTAGCCTATGGAGGCCATTAGTCAACCCTGGTGGGCAAAAGTGGTGGCCAAAAACATACATACACACATATCCATACACATGCCGTTTGCTGTTCAGGCCTTCCCGTGCTTGGCATGAGTACACATTTACAAATGGGTTTCCCGCTCTTTTGGAATCCCCTACCCACATCCCCTACCCACATCACCCATATGGTAAAGGGGAAACGGGGCGCCCCATCGCCTGTTCCTTGGCCTTTGGGATTGCGGGTGGGTTGTCAAACTCCAGGCGCTGTTTTTCTGTGCCTGACTTGCACCCCGCCCGGCATGTTGCGGCGCACACAGTGCCCTAAGTAAGACCGACCCAGATCAAATCCGACCAGCAGCAGCGGGCCAACGAGAGATACCCGCAGGGCACCTGCCTGCCTGGCCTACACAAGCAGATGCATTAAGACATTCCAGCGATTCCGGTGGCAATGGTTTGACCAGGCACGTGCCTCCTGCAGCGCTGCTGGGCTCTTAGCGCCCTCGACGGCGCCCAAGCTTAGGGGACCCTTGGAGGCAGGCGGCCTCTCCCATTCACGTGAGATGCTGTATCCTGGTTCGCTGCAAAGCTCCCTGCTCCTCCTCTATTGCTGCGCTTGCTGTTGTTGTTGTTGTTGTTGCTGTGCATGAACGGAATTAGGAAGGTGTGCGCGCAGCTGCTGGCCCACGGAGTCGTCAAGGCTATCATCGTCCCATGACTTGTCCCAAAGCTCCTTCCTCTTAAGGTCCTCCTGTGCAGGGGATAAGAACTGGTCAGAAAAAGGGATGGTTCTAACTAACGGGTCGGCTTTCAAGAGGCAATATGAACAGCGCACACCAGGCTAGGCTCCCAGTCCTCATGTTGAAACTCCTCGAACTCGTCATCCTCCTCCAGGGCAACGGTACCTTTCTTAGCCGGGTCCGCCATCTCTAACGCCCGGGTTGCCTGCCCAGGCAGATCAGAGGATGATTAAAACGCAATATTAAACAGGTATCTTCTGTCTTATTGAAATAGAATATGCCAGGCACGAAGCTTCAGACAAATGGTTTTGGCGGTGAAAATGTCGACAAATTTTCGTGTCCGACTTCCTAATTGTGCGATTTTGCTGGTTTTGTGATATTTGAAATTATGTTATCATGCCTTAGGTTTTCTGGCCCCCCCCAAGGAACATGCCGACGTGTGCTCGTACCTGTACTCCTCCGTACCGGCAGACCTTTGTGCATGCATTGCGCCGAAGTGTTGGTTGTCTTAATGAATCCTGGTTGAGTTTACCTTTCCTTTCATCCACTACCTCTTTTTGTTGATCTTGCGGTCCATAAGCCTCCTGGCTTGTCTGTAGTAGTGCTCGCGGATTGAGGGGCTACAAGATGGGTATTTCGAACTGATTGCGTAAATCCTGCTGTTTCCTGTGCGCGAGGCGTTGTATCATTGGAAGCACTCAGACATTTCGCTTATTTGTTGGTGCCTTTGTTGGAACTCGAAAGGTCCAGAACTGGGAACAAAACCCACTGGGCCTTTTGAGCTCCTTCTCGCAATCAGTCGCTAAGGCGAGATGCCCGTCTGGCAGCCCACGAGCACCACCCCGCTTCGTGCCTCCCATGTAGTCCTCCCCGGCTCCTCGCCTTCCACGGAAGGTAGGGCATCCTGTAGCCTGTGGTCCACGATGCAGGTGGACGCAACACACAGAACATCGCCAGACCACAGACTCATGAAACCGCCTTGCATGTGCAAATCCCTGCGCCTTGCGTTTGGCTACATCAAACGTTGAACACGGCAACACCTACACAGCAGCCGTCGAGCGCCTAGCGGAGAGGAAAGGCGCTTACTCTATGCACCACCGTTTGGTGTTAGGCACTCTCCGGTGGTCCGGTGGTCTCCTGCCCAATCCGCTCGCTCTCTGTCTCTTAGCGTCCCTCTGCCTCGGCCTCGTGCGCATGTTGGTGGCATTTGTATGTATCTCTTGTAGAGGGGCCGGACATCAGGCGACATCCTGTCAGCTGACTGGGTAGGTCAGCCGTTGACAACAAATCAATTCATTCCACGCAAAAGCTTGCAATGCTCTGAAGGTTGGAAGGAACCGGAGCACACAAACTACAAGGCGATTGCTGTGGTGTCGCATGGTTGATTGACTCCTTCGGAAGCCTGCGTCGGAGCCTTTGGATGCTCGTCCATGTCATTGATCGTCCCAATCCTGACTTATGCCGCGTTGCGTTGGGTGTCACACACAGCCATGCACGACCGTCAAACTCACCTGGACGCAGCTGACATCTTTGTTTGAAGTATATAATATATAGAGAGAGGCGCGGAAGTTATGTTGCGGATATTGTCAACACCTTGCCTGGCGGCGAGCCAGTACCCCAGCCTATAGGGGTCAAGCTGCCCAGGATGCACGGCGGATACACACAGTACTCAAATTTAAGCCGCGCCTACATCTGGTTTGTTGCAGGCAGAACGCGGCTCGGTGTTGTTCATGGCCCACCATTGGGCTCTGTGAGGGAACCTCATCGGAACGTCACTGTTGAACTTTATAAAAAAATTTTAACAGCATGTTATCATGCAAGTTTCCTCAGATTCCACATTTTCATCTGATTTCCGTAAGGGAATGGGAGAATGTGCGGGGCTTCAGTAATACAGCGCCATGCGCAACCTGAAGATTCATCAAGGAGATGGAAGTCACCAATACAAGGGATAACAACACGGCTCAACCTTCTTTTTCCGTTGTGTTGCGAATTGGACTATCACTAGCTATCTTGTAGGTTGGTAACCTCGTCATCGCCTACCCATCCACGACTCCGTAACTTGATTGGCGACGACTAGGGAACAAACTCCCTGACCGTAAGCTATGGCACTACGTCGCATAGAAAACACTGTCATATTTCCCAATCTGGAATACCTCAACTGATATCGACATGCCAAAGCGCTAGCTATGGGAATTAAGAGCGTGATGGCGCCGCCCTTCTGCGCCATACACTTACCGAATTACTGTTGCAACTTAAAGAGGATTACTTGAGGAAATTTCCGGTTGCCATGGCCAGACCGGTAGCTGTAGGAAAACATAATTGGATCTGAGTTGCAGCAGAGGAAGCGGTTTCCGCTGGTTGATTTCTTTTTGATGACTTACATTGGTGCTTACTGGAGCACTGTGCACCTACGTTGCACGCAGCGGGCGCCCCGCGTTTATGCCCCATGCGAGCCTTCGCCAAGTTGCAAACTAGTTTTTTGCTTCGTATTACTATTATGTCAAATATTGAATCAAGCGAAAGGCGAAAACGGACAGCCGCTGTATAACAAAGGCATGCAACACGATGGCCATGCGCACGAGGCAAACGCGCCACACCTGCACGGCGAGGGCGATGCGCACAAGATGCTCAAAGGATATGATGACCTTCCTTCATCAACCTCCGCGCTTTTGCAACCTTTGCTCAACTCCGGTCGCCATGCTGATGACATCTCTAGCCAAAAACGGGCCCTCGCTTCCGCTTCTGGCAGCAGCGCAACGAACAATTCCGTGGAAGAGAGCAGCAGCTATGAACCCACTCTGGAAATCAGGCGCCCCTCATCAGGTGGAGGCCTCCACAGTGACGGAGATGATGGCGGCAGCAGCGGCGACGGTGGACCATTAGCCGAGGGCACTGCCACCACCGCCACGAGCAACAACAGTAGCAGCAGTAGCAGCAGCAGCGCGCTGTCCCCGCCGTCGCCGCCGCCTCGGCTGTATGTCCCGCAGTTCGACCCTCACACTCACCAGCAGCTAGTTTGCAGCTATGACCGAGTCACAGCTCCGGAACCCGCTATCGGCTGTGGACCAAACAGAGTGGAGGTCGAATTCCAAGCTCTGATCGTGGGGGGAAGGGGGGAAGCTGGGGGGGGTTTGTCGGCGCCGCCGCCACCAGCCGCCAGCGACAACGACAATGACGGGGGCGGGGGCGGCGGCGGCGGCAGCGGCGGCGGCGGCGGCGGATCAACACCTCCGGCGGCGGCTGACGTCCCTTTGCGCATGGTAAGCGGAACCACAGATGGTAGTTGTACGGATGGTAGTTGTACAAATGGTAGTTGTACGGATGGTAGTCCTTGTTATGCCCCAATGTTATTATGCCTCCACCCCACGGCCTGGGTGAGTCTAACTTCGCCGCCTCACTTACCGTGTGTGTGTGTGAATGTATTATGTATTTATGTATGTTTGTTTGTGTCTGTGTGGTGTATCGTGGCGTATTCGACGACCCTGGTTTCCCCGAACCCCGAACCCGCAGTGCGCCGCCCCCGCGGCCTACAGCTCCGAAACCCGCACCCTCAACTGGGCATTATGCTGGCTGCCGGGGGACCCGCCGGATGAAGTACTGGCGGCGGCGGCGGCGGCGGCGCTCGCCGTCGAGAACCCGCTGAACAGCGCAAACGGTACTTTTGGCAGTAGCGGTAGCAGCACCGGCAGCGGCAACGGCAGTAGCAGTAGCAGCAGCGGTGGAAAAACGTACGGCGATGTGGTTCTCCGGGTTACGTTGCCCCGGATGACGTTGTACGGGATCTCGTCCATGGCACCCGGAAACTACAGCCTCGCAGTCGGCGGCGCTGACGCAGTTGGAATTGTCGTACATCCCGCGGCGGGGACTGCGGTGGCCGGCGACGGAGGCGCCGGGGCGGCGGCGGTAGCAGCCGTCAGAGCTCCGGACGTTGGCAGCGCCGCAACAATCGTACTTTCTGATGCCGTACCGACGGCGCCGCCGCCAACGACATCCATACCCGTCGGCGGCGCCGCGGCGCTGACGCTCTGGTTTGAGTTTCGAGCATGCGCCACCGCCGACACTGGCACAGCCACTGCCGCTACGGCCATCACTGCTACAGCCCCCGGCAATAGCAGCACGGGAAGTACGAGCAACAATGGCAACGATGTCGGTAACGGTAACGGCAAATTAAACGGAACCGACAACGGTAGCAGCAATAACGGAATCAGCGTCAATAACGGAACCAGCAACACCACTGGAAATAGGCTAAAAGGGCAGGGAAGCGATGGCATCGGCAACAGTATTGCAACCACGACAACCTACAACAGCAGCACACGCGGTACCAGCAAAACTGGCGCGGCAATGCGGGTCTTAACCGCTAACGGTCTAACTGCCTCACGTGTTCTATCTCTAACCCTCTGGGGCCCCAAGGCCGATCCGCAACCGGCGTCGACAACGTGCAAATGCGCCGCTGCCACCGCCGCCGCCGCCGCCGGTGATGGCGACGGCGGCGGCGGCGGCGGCTGCGCCGCCGGTCTCGTGCCCTTGATTGCCACGATCGTTCCTCTACAGAACGCCGTGAGCAGTACAACCGCCAGCGACAGTAACAGAAACGACGGTCCTGCTACGTTTTCCAGGGCCAATGTTACATTGTGGCCCAGCGGCAGCTACGGCAGTAGTGACGGTGGCGGAGGTGAACCGGCGCCGTTTGTAAGATGCGTGAAGCCCCCGCTGTACGACAAGTTTAGTCGCCGATTCGTCTTCTCAGCTTGCTGGCGATATGCCTGCTTGCCAGCGGCGCTTACTCGGCGGCCGTACGAACTTATGCTGGGCCCGGTGTCGTACACGGCGGCGGTGACGCCGTTGCCAGCCGGCAGATACCGTATGACCACGTCGCTGCCGTACGGTGTTGGCATGTCGTACGAGTACACGACGGCGGTAGGCGGTCCTTGGACGACAGTAACCGCCAACCGCTCCGATGGCGGCGGCGGGCTCGTAGTGAATTTGCCGTACTTGGGAGCGGGGCAGATGAGAATTCGGATTCAAATTCCCTTCGACGGCAACGTTGACGACGGCGGTGGTGAGTTGAGTCTGTGGTTCCTAGGCTCTACTTGATTGCCCTTGCCTGTCTGTTTGCCGTACACTCATCTACTCCCCACGGGGACCTTTTCGACGCCGTCGGATCGCCTGTACGAAAATTCCCACTGCCGCCGCCGCCGCCGCCGCCGCCATTGTGATGTTCCGCCGCCTCAGGGTCCCTGGAACTCAAGCTGATCTCCTCCGCCACCAGTTTTGGATCCAGTTCTGGATCCGGTTCTGGATCCAGTTCTGGATCCAGTTCTGGATCCGGGACGGAACCAAACGGCGGCGGCAGTAGCAGCAGCAGCAACAGTAGCGACAAGTACGGCACCGACGGAAGCAGCAACAGCACCACCGGCGGCGGCGGTGGGGTGGTTTTGGCACAGCCTGACGGCACCGCCACGACGTTGCCGCCGCTGCCCAGCGCCGCCACCGCCGCCAATGCCACGCTGGTGGTGGTTTCGAAGCTTTGGCTGCCCCGCCGCGTGAGGGTTGCTGGCGGCGGCGGCGGCGGCAGCGGCGTGAGTACGGTTTCGGAGCTGGGGGAAATAATTCGCCGTGGGATCGAGGATGCTGACGCGGCTGCCACCGCCGCCGCCGCCACCGCCAGCCCTTATAGCCAGGTTTGTTGACACGGCCCTGACTATCATTTATAAAAAGATTAGTTTATTCGTTATCACTGCATGAGCAGCATCGGCCTAGTAGTGTCATTACACACACACCACCCACTCACCAAGTCGCTCATGTCTTTACTTCCCAGGGCAACGTATCCGCCTCCGTGGCGCTGGTGGGATTCCGCCTTACGATGCCGATACAGTTTAAAGACGTCCCGGGGGTTCCAGATTGTAGTGATGAATCGCTGGCGGAGCTTCGCGCCGCCGCCGCCGCCGCGGCGGCGGCGGCGGCGGCGACGGCAATGACTCCGTCGGGCAACGACAGCAGTACGACGGCGGTGACGCTGCTGTCCGTGGGCTGCTCGTTTGTTGCTAGCCGCCGCCGCCACCACCACCGGCGGCGGCTACAGCAGCTACAGCAGCAGGAGGTACGACGTCCAGAAAAGTTGGTTTCTGTTTTTGTTTTTATTCCTCTCTGAAAATTGCTGCTCTCATAATAATGCAGTACACCAGTACGGCACACCACCCTAACCCCGGAGGGCTCCAGGTTACACCTTTACAGGGCTACGAAGCTCCGGAAGCGAGTGTAATAATAAAAATAAAATAATAATAATAATAATAATAATAATAATAATAATAATAATAAATATATAATAAATAATACTAATAATAATAAAAATAAATAATACTAATAATGATAACATTACACACTCACACATATGCACGTATCCGCATGGTCCTCAGCTAAAACTTATTTCAGGCCGTCAAAATAATTAATTATTTCAGTCTGTCACTGTCTTTTAGCTAAAGTCTTCCTGCCCCTCCCGCAGACACTTCATGTCGTAATTCCCTCTCCCCGCGTGTCGCGTACGGCAGACTTGTACAGCGCATGTCAACACCCCCGTCTCCGTCGACACGCCTGTGCTGGACCTGGACGCCTTTATCTCGTCCAGTACGGCATCTTTGTCGTACATGTACGGCGGCGCCTCATGCCTTCTAGATCCAACATCAGCGGACATCGACGTGACGTCCAAGCTGACAGTCTCTGTGTCGATGCCCGCCGCCAGGGTGGCGATGGCATCATCGGCGACGGCGACGGCCGACGGCGGCGGCGCCGATGCGTCAGCCTCGGCGTCGGCCTGTACGGCAGGCGCGCAGGTGCTGGCGTCGTCGCTTGGTCTTAGCGATGGCGAGGTACGGCAAATTGGGAGAAGTTCAGACGGATAACGAGCCAGATGGCCAGATGGAGGTGATGGTGGAGGTGGCACACACACCACACACTGCCCCCGACGGACATATGCGAACCAGCGGCAGTGCGTTCTGCCGCCGGGGTAGTGCAGGTGCCGCAGCGGGAGCTTCCCCTGTCCCTGGCAGCTGCCTGTCTGCCTGTCTGTCTGTCTGCCTGCCCGTGTGTGTGTCTGTCCGTGTGTGTATGCGAATGCTTGGCCGAGCTGATTAACGGCGGCATTGCGCCTTACGCCCTATTTTCGGATATGGATGCGTTTTGATGGCGAAGTACGACAATGGTGGCAATGGTGACGATGCTCACACAGGTGATGGTGGTGGGCTGCCAGCTGTCAGCGGAGGCGCCACCGAGTGCCGTACCGCAGTCAGGCCGCCAGGGAGCCAGCCCGCCGCCCGGCAGTAATAGCAGCGGTGGCGGCGGCGGCAGCAGCGGCAGTAGCGCTAATATTAGTAGGCATGGGAGCAAGGCCAACGGAGCGGCCATCGTTGCCGTCGCCGTCAGCGTCGCCGCCGTCGCCGCTGTGGCGGCGGCGGTTCTTCTGGGAGTGGCACTTGTACGGAAGCGGCGCCGCCAGAACCGCAGCGCGCGTTTCATTAGTTCCTCGGAAGCCACGACAGGAAGGGGCGAACGAGCCTTCGACAACATTTCTTCGACGCCATTCTTCACGAATGATGCGATGAAAGCGAAGACCGAAGACATCGCGCAGTTCAGTCGAGTGGCGGCGGCGCCGCTGCCGCCGCCGCCGCCGCCGCCGGCGATGCGAGCCGCTCTTGGAGAGGCCATCAGAGGGCCAGAGGGTCGATGTGGCACTAGCGGCGCTATGATGCCAAGCTCTTCCAAGAGCCTCGTGTCGTACAGGATACGGGCATGCTCGTCGACGTACGGCAGCGGGGCCGCCTTGGGCAGGGCTGTCAGCGGCAGTGGCGCGGCAGGCGGCATGGGCGCTGAGGGGTCGGGGGGGGATAGATGGACGGCATCACCGCCGGCGGCATCGGCGGCATCGGCATCGGCGGCGGCGGCATCACCGCGGTGCAACACGTACAGCAGCGGCGACGGCGGCGGAGCTGGTGCAGGCGCCGAGGTCGGCGGCGGGACCCCCTGGTCTCCGGAACAGATTGTACGACGGCGCGGAGCGTTCCATTGGGGCCACGTTAATCAGCCGGGTTGTACGAATGGCAGTGATGATGGCCTTGGCGGTGCTGCCGCCGCCGCCCCCGCCGTTGGGGATATGGTATGCTGTACGTTGGGCGACGCCGCCGTACAGGGAACCTCAGACCGCGGCTCCGTTGCCCGATCCTCATCCTCACGTAGGGCCTCTGGCGGCGCCGACGGCGGCGGCGGCGGTAGTGCCGCTGGTGGTTGGTACGACCTTTTCGGTTTGGACGAAGCGATGGCCGTCGGGGGTAGCGACTTTAGCATAAGGTGCGTTGCCGCCGTGCCGTACGGTCCGGCGGCGCGACGGCGGAGCAGTGGTGACAGTGCACACGTCCTGCGCCGCAGCAATGCCGGCAACCTGCCGCTGGAGTTCTTCCCGCCGCCGCCATCGTCATACGACAGCTGTGGCGACAGAGCCGTCGGAGGTGCCCCTCGCCTTGTCGGTCAACAACAAACATCAGCGAAAGATCTGTATCCAGGGCAACGGCAACGGCTCACCGCGCCAGCCGGCGCCGTCGCGACGGCGGTAGCGGTGGCGTCGACGCCGCCACCGCCGCCGCCATTCTCGCCCAGGTCTTCGACGCCGGCTCTTCCGCAACTGCACCTCCGATTTGCGCTTCCCGGAATGGATTGGTACGGCGTCCGAGATAACACGCCGTGCGACGCAGAACAGATTGGTGGTCGCGGCAGCGGCGGCGGCGGCGACGGCGGCGATGGTCCAGGGGATTTACCCGCCACGAACGACGGCGGCGAGGAGGGAGATCTGCTCCGAGTGCAGTCGAGACGGCCGGCGTTTCTAGATGGTACGGGAGGAACCCTCGCCGCCGCCGTCGCAGCGACGGTAAGATCGTCCTGCAGCGGCAGTGGCGGCGGCGGCGGCAGCAGCGGCGGTACGACATCACGCTCGACAGGCTGCCCTAGGGAGCTATCCACACGTGTTGAGCCGCGCCGCGGCGGCTTCATCCACCGGAACTCCGTCGCGCCGTACACGGGCCACCAGCCGTCGTTCACATCGTACATTCGTAATCGGAATTGCGCCTGTTCCGCGACTGAGGCCATTGGTGGCGGCGGCGGCGGCGGCGGCGCTTGCTTCGAGGCCTGGTCGCCCTCTTCGATGTCACCTCTCAATAGCCCCTTACGCGGCGCGGTTGCTGGGGAGATATGTACGACACTGGCGGGAGTCATAGGCGATCGCCGCCGCAGCAGTGGGTACGAAGGCTTTGGCGGCGGCAGCGGCAGCAGCAGCGCCGCCGCCAACGCCGCAGCGGCCAGTGACAGGATGAGGAGCGCCGCCGGCGCCAAGACCGACGCCTCGGACGACGAACAGGACGCAAGTACGGTCCGTACAACGGCCGAGCTGCCGCTGGCTCCACCGCCGTCCCCGTCGGCGGCGGAGATGGCGCCTCAATGGATGGGCGGACTGTCGCGGCGGGCCAGGCCCAGTCCCGTACGGCACTCAGCCGACGGCGAGTGTGCCGCGCGGTCAGCCTGTGTTCCTCCGCCGGCGGCGGTGGCGGCGGTGCCGGCTGGCGACGGCGGCGCAGCGGCACCCGACGTCGCAGCATCTGCCACCGTCGCAGCCGGTGCGTCTGCGGTTCCTCCAAACCTGGATCCGAATTCCGATAGCGTAAAATACAATGTACGGCAGCCGCCGTACGTGCAGCCGTCAGGCACCCTGGATTCGAACTTAAAAATATCGGGTCCTGCAGCGCCGCGCAGCGGCAGCGGCGACGACGACGCTGTCCAAGATTCTGCGGATGCCGGCGGCGGCAATGACGACGCAGTACAGCACGGTTACGACAGCGGCGGCGGCGGCAGACGGCCTGCAGCGACCCAGCCAGCATCTCCTCGCCCGTTGACAGGCCTGTCGATAAGCCGCGGCGTAGGCCTGGCGTATTGCACAGCGCCGGCGGCGCCGCTCCACGACAGCAGCAGCGGCAGTAACTCGCCGTACTCCCACAACAGCACGAATGGGAGCGGCCCGAATGGCTATGTTGGCAGCGGCGGCGGCGGCGGCGGGGGGCGACGGAGGGTGGAGGAGCTGTCACCCGCCTTTGGCCCGTCACCGGCGATGCGCGCGCGGCAGTTAGTCAGACGATCCTCGTCTTGCGGCTCATCCGACGGTGCCGTACCGTACGGCATGGGGGGATTGGTGGATCCGTACGTGGAGGCTAATGCGGGAAGCGGCGCAGCACGGCTCGCGATGATGAAGCGGTTGGCGGTTGGCCCTCCGCGACCCGCCTGGGGCCTTGTGCACGTAAGCACGTGGCGGATGGAAGAGGAAGAGTCTGAACTCTTTAGGTTGTACGTGCCGTACGGCTGGGGCTGGTTTGGGTTTTTGTCCCCCCTGGTTCATCGGCCGGTATTTCCCCACCCTCCGCACTCACCCCCTCACTCACCCCCCACTCGCCCAACCTCCTGCTTCCAAAACCCCAAATGCTGCTTTCGTCACTTTTGTTGCCTCGTCCAGGCTGGTGTCGCGCCAATGAAGCGCAGCATCGCATCCGTTCAGTATGTCAAGAGCCTCAACCAGGCTGAGGCATCTGGCGCGGCTGCGGCACTTGCGGCGCCGCCCTCAGCTGCCGTGATGGCGGCGGCGGCGGCGGCGGCTGGTGGTGGTTGTTGTGGTGGTCGTCACAGTTCCGTACCTGGGCGGCTCTTCCTGAGCGGCAGCAGCTCCCCGGGGGGTGACGGAGAGGGGTCATCGCGAGCTTCGTCAGAGACCTCGGTTCCCTTTCTCCGGCTCGTGGTGTAGAAATGACCCATGGGCCGAATGCGGCGAGGAAGAAAATGACCCGCGGGTCAGTCGGTTATTAAAGCCAGACCCATGATGTCCCAACGGGAGGCCAATGGATCTATTTACATGTACAAATATAAGAGGAGAGAGAGAGAGAGAGAGAGAGAGAGAGAGAGGGGGAGGGAGAGAGGGGGGGGGAGGGAGCGAGGGAGCGACAGCCAAACCAAAACCACAAATCTCTCCGTTTTGTGGAGTTCGTTTGGTCGTGTGTATATGGTAGAGTAGAGAGCTGCGCATGAGGGTTTTCCACCCTTTACATGCACACAGACCGACATACACACAAACCCAAATTAATACCGGCAGGCGTCTCTTAAGTGTTGCAATTCTCCGTCGTTGCCAAAACAGGCGACACACATACACACAGATATGAGGATAATATAAGGTTGCTGACTCCTGACTCCGATCCACGAGTGTATAAAAATATAGGTGCTTCGATATTACGGCTGCAGGCGCTGCGGGCCGACGATTGAGCCTACGAGCCGTACGAGCCAGTGAGTAGTGGCAAGATGCTACGCTCGCTCATGTTACGCCGTATTGACAACGGCATCCTTATATGGCACGATTTGTGTTCGCGCACTTTCATTTTAGGGTGTGACACTCATTTTGTTTGTTTCCTATCCGTCTTGTTGGTGCATTTCCCACACGATCGTACATTGCCGTACACAGACCTGCCTTTGTGTCACCTCTGCTATCCGCCTCTACTCCTCTGTTTCCTCTTTTTGTGCAAATGCTGTTGACATGACACCATTTTATTCGTATACGCGCACACATTGTTTACAAACGGCAACTTGACACCTTTGGTGTCATTGCGCAAAGTCACTGCAGCGCAATGGTGCTGTGTTTTTATTTTGCACGGCGTTGTACTGCAACATGGATCTGGTGTGCTGGGGAGAGTGGGGTGGAAAGGGGGAGAGCGAGAGAGTGAGGGATGTTGCTGATGTTGGTGAGAAGTATGTGATTATTAATTATTTAGTTTTCTTAATTCACATGTCCGTACCCGCTGGTGGTGGCTGGAGGGACGCGGGTTGGTGCCATAGTAGTGTGTTGGATGATGCCATTTATTTCAGCGCCGTCCCCTCTTCGCCGTTCCCGGCTTCCGGGTTTAAGAGAACATAAAGGGACGCACAAAGGGGGGAAGCGGCCTCCGGGGGGTTGGGCCCCCGTGGCCGGCGGCCGGCTGCCAGCAGGCCTCGGGACATACATACATACGTACATACATAAGGCAGGTGGCTGGCAGGGGTTAAGGCCTTAGGACTTCTGCTCCCGGAGTGTCCGGTTTCATATCCGCCTGCCGGCACCGCGGGTACTTAACAAGTGTTGAAATGGGAGGTGGTCGCCCATCGTACAAACGGCTTAGGACGTGATAATCTCAACTTGCGAGCTGACCAGGAACTAAGTTGAGGCGCCGTTGATCCGCTAGATTTGGTTGGATGCTGGTGGTGAGTTGCCGAACCCAAAGAATACACTCTGAAGTCGGATGGGGTGAATGGATTAGGGGCCCCTCTCGCAGGGGAAAGCAGGGAACTGCCTCGGGAAAGGGGGCCGCTGGTGAAGCTATACCACCCTATAACAACATCATAAGGCCCGCCGGGAAATTGTTGGGAAAATAAAGACATGAAGCTAATTTCATGCACATTAAACGATAATGGTGATGTATGTATGTATGTAATGCCATAGCTACTGCTACTGCTGTCCTGTTGCTGCGGTAGTTCCTGGTGTTGTAACTGGTGCCAGTTGCTATCAAATTGGTGTTATTGGTGTTGATGATAATGATGACGCAGTGTGTTTCGCTTGAGAAGCAGGGTGTTGAGATGAAGCGCGGACTACGACGTGCGGCAGTGCACACATCGCCGGGAGCTGGTGCTCTTTTGCCCCTTCTTAAAGTACTGGTTCAGCAGCAGCATTAGCAGCAGCATTAGCAGCAGCAGATTTAGCACACACGCGTTAAAACGGATTAAAACATATACATGGGTAGTTGTTCCAACCTTCTACTGCTTTCGGAATGACCGGCACGAAATCCGTTTTGCACAATTGTAAATTTCGCTCGCATCTCTCTCACGCTCTCACTTTTCAGCTTACCAGCTAGGGCAGAGGCAGGATCGATAATCGCGACAGAAAAATAACCTAAACCGCCAATTCATGTATGTATGTATGTCTCCCTAATCGCTGCTATTGCTGCGAAACCCGTCGCGATTGCAATCTGTTGCTCTATATCTGTGGCCCCCCCTCAGCAACACAGCTCCTCCTCCCCCCCTCCCCCATATCCTATACAGCCTCCTTGAGAACTACTTCAGTGGGTACTTCGGCCACCTCCCCCGATGTATCTATCAGGGGTCACTAGCATCTGCACCGCGAAGGGTTACGATGCGATGAAAGCCACATAAGGTTGCACCCGTCGTCCACCCGTGCAACCCAACCACCAACTCCCAACCGACCTAACCACCAGGACCAACTGCTCCATCCAACGTCCACTGCACAACACCCCAGAAGATAAAGAGCCCCGCCCTCGTCCCCCGCCGGACGTGGAACGCGGAAGTTGTCATTATCGTCATTATCATCATCATCATTACAACCATCAAACATCAACCACCACAGAACTCAACCGCTGTCAGCGCTAGCGCTAGCGCCCCCATCGACACACCATCCTCGGCTGCAACACGCCCTCTCGAGCCCACTACCGCTATAAACGGTACCCCAACCCACATACAACCCCCCACCCCCCCCAAATTACCCTGCGCGCTGCGGGTGCTGTTTTGCGCCTTTATGATTTTGTACGGCATCCGGAGGTGGAGTTGTCGGGGTCAGGTGCATGTGAATGGGTGCGCCCACATGTTTGTATGTATGTTGTTACAGGGTGGTTAACTTCGCCAGCGGCCCCCTTTCCCGGGGCAGTCCCTGCTCTCCCCTGCTAGAGGGGCACCCTAATCCGTCACCCCATCCGACTTCAGAATGTATTCGTTGAGTTCGGCAACTCACCACCAGCATCCAACCAAATCTAGCGGATCAACGGCGCATCAACTTAGTTCCTGGTCAGCTCGCAAGTTGATATTATCACGTCCTACACCGTCCATAAGATGGGGGGCCACCTCCCATTTCATCACTCCTCAAACACCCGAGGAGCCGGCAGGCGGATTTGAACCCGGGTCGACTGGGTCAACTGGGAGCAGAAGTTTGTATGTATGCATGAAAATATGTTTGTATGTCCATATGTGCCCTTCCTTCGCCCGTGTCCGAAACTCAACAAGGCGCAGCTGTGCAGTCTGAACCCTCCTTCATGCAGTACAATGTACGAATTACCCCTCCAGGGAATTTCGAGAGCGGACGTTTTTTTATTTAGGCGGCAACACAGTAATAAGGGGAATAAGGGGGCAGGGGCCTTTCCACACGACATCGCGGACCGCACGGAACTCACAGAGCCCTCACAGCAGCCGAGTGAAGTGGTGACCTTGGGTCACCTTTTTTCATGGCGCCTAGAGCGTACGACCGTCGTACTAAAGGTAGTTTGGAAGCAGAGAATAGAGGAGTCTGATTTTATGGTGTACGAAACCGGTGTACTGCACCGTCGCCGCCATGAAAAAAGCTTCCCAACGGGTAACGAACGGTCAACGGTCCGTCCATCAGGCTGTGAAGGGTTTTCCACCTTCTCCCCACCGCCCGGCCCCGGGGTTTCATTCTGCGGTTCCTACCGTACGACTGCTGCCGTACACTTTGTCGCGACACAAACCTGCGCGCACTTACTTACACAAACAAATGCACTTGGCAGTTCCTCACTGTGAGCGTCCTCCGATTCCATTAAAACTGCGTCAATAAGCCCCAACCGTTAGCGGCGCAACTGATTTTACCAATACGTTAACCGCTCCACCCAACCGCCCGGATTCGCGCGCATGAGGGCCTTGCGTGTTTCATCGTACACGAAACACAGCAAGAACCACGGCAGCCCGGGCAGCCAATGAAGACCGGAGATCGGCCCGGTGTTGAACACGACCTGTACGACGGGAAATGTACGACGGCAACGGCAATGTAAGCAAAAGGTCTACGACAGTTCAGATGAGATGTAGAGGTGCGTGAAGTAGTAGCTGAATGAGAGAGGTACGGAAGTGACAAGGCAGTGGCCAATGTTCATATGCACAGGTATAAATAGGTTACTAAGGGTTTACTTGTATTTCAGCAAACGGAAATCCGCGAATTTGACAAAACTAGAAAGCACCCGGAGAGCGATCACTCTCCCACAGATCACAAAAAAACACAAAACACAAAACGGAAACACAGGTGTGTAAGTTCTCGAAAAACTTAGATAAGTCGAAATCGCGATGATAAAAACGCGCCTTACAACCCCCAATTTTTTAAAGCGACTTACGTTTAAGGGCGGCACGTAGGCGATGAGCACCACCAGGCATGCTTCGAAGACGAAGCCTCCCAACATGAATTTGTTGTTCAGAACACCCTGTACGGCACATTTAAAAAAAACCGAGTTTTAAGGAAAAAAGCAGGAAGAAAGGTCGTGTATGGGATTTGTAAAGGTTTATACGAAGCCGTGCACAGCCCGTCGTCCGGCTTCTTTCGTACATCGTACATCGATATTACCTGTGAAAAAATCGACAGCTTCCGAGTCTTGGACATCAGCGCCGCGATAATCTTGTTCATTACCACCGCTACGAAGTATGCTGTCTGTCCCTGAGATAACACGTGTCGTTGGTAGGTGGGGTTTGGTACGTTTTGGTGTGCCGCACGCCAATAGTACAGAGATCCCGTCGGCGCTTCGGCGTTTTTGTCCACTTCGCCGCGGCCTCCGAAACCAAAGGTTGCGGAGAGGGTGGCGTTGAAGGCGGAGCCGCAGAAGTACTTGAAGTTCCTGTGTGGGTGAGTGGGTGTGTGGGTGTGTGTGGGGGGGGGAGGGCGGCGTGTTGTGGGGTGTGGGGGTGTCCTTTGGAAAATAGTGATCGGGATGGTGATGTGGGGGGTGATTGAGGAGGCTGGTGGTTGAAAGATAAGAGGCAAGAGGGCCAGAGGACCCCGTTGCAGAAGGTTGGGCGGGGAGGAGGGGTAGGTCGGTCGGGAGGAGGGTTCGGTCGGTCGGGAGGCACCTGTTAAAACTACGGATGGGGCAGAGGAGAGACCGTTGCTTAAATATTCGGACAGAAAGGAAAGAAACCCTAAGTAGGAAATGTTTTGAACAGAAGGAAAGGGTTTTACAACTACTACAGGGACAGCTCCCAAGGGTGAGATGTAAAATAAATCTCCTGACCATTCTGCAACCCACCGAATATAACAACATCCCCCCGAAGAAGAAGAAGAAGAAGGAAAAAAATTGAAACAACGAAGAAAGCCAGGTCGAGCTAAAAGCATGTATGCTGCCCCGGGCATAGCCTTGTGTGCGCATATATGTATGTGTGTATTTAGAGAGAGAGAGAGGGGGGGAGAAAGTAATGTGTCATGTTTACCGGCGTGTACAGCACTACGTCCTGGCATCCCATCCGCCGTTTCCGTACCAACCGCCACAACCGCCGTGCACCAACGTACGCCAAATATACCACCAAACCCCAACGCGCCAGCAGCACGGCCCCCCAACTCTCCCCCCAATATTATTTTTCCAACCACCCAACCACCGAACTCTCTCGCCCCCGGGGCCGTCCTTACCTATCGTCTTCGGGCGTCAGAATGTTGCGGTACGGCGATGTCGTACTGGTACTTTCAGTCAGATAAAAGGCCCTCTCCGCGGCGCCGAGTCCGTTGTACCAGGAACATGTACGACTGCAAACCGCCTCGGGCCCCAAGGCGAAACCTCGGAAGCCGCGGCCGCCTAAGCGTTTGGCGGTTGGGAGGTTGGGTGGTTAAGGAGCTTCTTTAAAAATTATTAAGGTAGGACTTTGGGTAGGTAGTTTGGTGGTTATGGAGGTTTCGGCAACATGTACGATACGTGTCACACACAGACACACACGCTCGCCAGGTGGTGAGGGATTCGTCCATCCCCCGGAGGAGGCTATCGGTCAGATGGAATCAGTCTGGCAATTCCCAGACCGCTAAAGATCACACAAATAAACAGACAGACAGACAAACGTACCCGGCGCAAACTCCGAAAATGGGTCGCTATAGTTGTTGCTGGCAAAGCAACCTTCCTTGCAAAAGTCAGCGGTGGCGGTGCGCATTGCGGCGGCAGCGGCGGAGAACTTCGCCAGCCCGGCGGCGGCGACAACCGCCTCTGTAACGGCTGCAGAGTTCGGGCCCTTGCAACCGAAGCCGCACTTGGACACCTGGGCACGCGGGGTGCGTGGGTGGGTGGGTGTGTTTGCACGGGCCACGCGGTGACTCGGAACGGTACGACAACACAACCTCGAACGGGTGCGAATGAACGGATGGAAGAACAAGCGGCCCACAGTCACAGCCGAAGGCGGAGAACTCGTGCTGTCGTAAAGGGCGAATGCGACAGTAGGTGACTTTGGAGGAACTGAAACTTTGCCCACGCGATGGGATACGGCACGGCATGACCCGGCACGGCACGGCACGGCACGGCGGTCTGTCCTCCCATACCTCCAAAGGTCCCCTCGTTGTTTACCACGTCTCCACCACTCTCCCCTCCCCCACCTCATATTCTTAGAATAACCACCCAGGTTCAAACCGAACTGAACCCTAAGTTAACTAACCTTAACTAACTCCCAACAACCTTACCGTGCCATCATCTCTGATACTGCAAAGCAGCTGTGCATCATCCCAGGAGTGTCCGATGCCGTACATGACGCGGGGATTGTAACCGTAGTCGTTCATGCACACGAAGAAGCCGAACCAGCCCGCCAGAGCCTTCGAGGGGCGGGGGGGGGGTGGCGGAAGGGGGAAGGAGGTATCGTAGGGGTAGGGGTAGGGTGGAGCGCGGCAGCGCACGGACGAAGGGAACGGTCCCACACGGTGTTTCGCAACAACTCCTTCAACGGTCTATCCCTCCCTCCCTCCCTCCTCACAGCAGTCTCTGAAACCTGCTGCTGAACTCTGCTTTCACTTTAGTTGCATACCCCCCTCCCTCCTCACACAAAACAAACATAAAATACACACAAAACACACGCGCACGCGTACAAAACCCACACGCACCCTCCACGCACGTGCACCTACATTCACATGCATACATACGAACATACATACATACATACACGCACACACACATCCGCACCACGCGCCCACTGCCTGGTACCTGCATCACGCCGATGTGCAGGTACGTGAACAGCAGCAGCTTCAGATTGACGAGGTGGTCCGAGTGTGCGTCACGGGGCGGTCGGGACATGATGTCTGTGGGGTTAGGGGTTGTGGAGGGGTTTCCAAGGGGCAGTAGTACGGCATAACTTGACAGCTCAGGTTTTTTCCCAGTTATTCATCAAGGAAAATACGACACTTTCACTCTCACATTCACAGACATGCATACACTTACACGTACACCACCCCCCGACCCCGTGCTCACCTGCCTCCCGGGTCTCGTACGCGAAGGAGATGGCGGGGATCATATCCGTTCCCAGATCGATGGCCAGAATCAAAATGGTGGTTGTGGCGAGCGGTATGCCAGCAATCACCCACAGCAAAAAAGGAGATAGCTCCGGAACCTGGCGAAAGGCGAGGAGCGGGTTTTGGGGTTGGCGGGGGGTTGGGGGGTGGGGGGTTGGGTGTAAGAGAAGGGAGGGAGAAGGTCGGGGATCACAACAGTCTCTCAAGAGACTGTACGACTTTATATGCTAACGCTACTGGCCACAACACATGAGAATATATCAGTGTTGGTGCGCAACATCGCCGGGGTATGCCGTACAAAGTGTCGTACACGTAGGCAATGACAATTCGTACCTTGGACGTGAGGGTGTAGTTGATCGACTTTTTGAGGTTGTCGAAAATGAGCCGACCCTCCTCCACCCCGTTGACGATGGAGGCAAAGTTGTCTGTCGGTTAGCAGGTAGTTGGTTGGGACGGTTGGGACGGTTGAGCCGGGGAAGAGGACCAGGATTTAAAAGTTTAAAACGTTGGCAGGCAAAGAGTGACGGAGCAGGAGGAGCGACAGGAAGGACGTTAAGATGGCAAGGCGACGACACAATACATTTACATTCGTCATTTTACCTGGATGCCGTACCAACTGATTGCCGTATATCACTTTGCCTACCTCCCATACTCAACGATTTACATCACAGCCCAATACCTGTCTACCTGCCATAACAGCAGCAGTATTCATACCAAAACCTGCAGTGCTATCAATCTGCCGTACATCTGCCGTACTAACTAATTGTCGTACCGTCCATGAGAATCATATCCGCTGCCTCCTTCGACACGTCCTTTCCAGCAATGCCCATGGAGATGCCGATATCCGCCTTTTTGAGCGCAGGGGCGTCGTTAACACCGTCACCTGCGAGCGTGTGCGCGCGAAGGTGAAGGTTGAGAGGGGTGTGAGGGTGGGTTGAGACAGATTGAGGAGATCTTGGTACACATACACACACCCCACAATCACCNCCCCCACCCCACCCCACACACACCATCCACCCACCCCACCCATTACCCCCCACACTCCCCCCCATACACACCCATACACACCCATACACACCCATACACACACACGCACGCACTGGACCGACCTGTAACCGCCACAACGCGCTTCAGGCGCTGGTTGTTCTCCACGATCAGCAGTTTATGCGCCGGGGTAACTCGGGCAAACACAATCTGCTCGTTCTTCAACAAGATATCGTCCCAGGCGGCCTCCCGCTTGGCGTCGTCATCGATGGCCATCAGATTGCTGTGTACAGCACGAAAAGTACGGCAGAGGGTACGGCAAGTCAAGGAGAGCGAGGAACTAACAGAAAACCCACAAAATCCCGCAATCACACGAATCACGAATCATATACCAACCCCCACGCCAACCTAACACCCCAGCTCCCAACCCCCCTACTAAACGCTTACATCCTCCCCCCAAACCCCCAAACACAACCCCACTCGCCAACACGCGAGCTCACCGAATGTCGTCTCCCGTCACCACCTTGCCCTTGCCTCGGGCCACCACCTCCTTGTCCAGGATGCCGATCTGCTCGGCTATGGCCCGAGCGGTGATCGGGTGGTCGCCTGTCACCATGAACACGCGCACGGAGGCCCGCTTGCAGGTGGTTACGGCCTGGAAAAGGGGGGGGGAAAGGGGGGGAGGGAGGGAGACGGGGGGGAGCCGGAAGTTGGGTGGGTGGGGGGGGAAAGAGATCAGGGGGCAGTGAAGGGGAAATGGGGGTGTTTTGGAGGGCGGGTTTGAAACGTGGGCTACACGGGTTGTGTGCTGAACTCCCCCGGTATTTACCCCCCCCCCCCCACACACAGGGGGATATTCCCCCCCGCTTCCCCCTCCCACCCAAAGGAAAATCCGTACCTCCGGCACGCCCAGACGCGGCGGATCAATGAGCGACATCAGGCCACAAAACACAAGGCCTTGTACGGGAAAGTTTGGCGCGGGTTGGTCAGTCCAGGGGTGGTTGTGGGGCAGGCCGTCAAGGTTCGCGTAGGCGAAACCCAACACGCGCTCTCCCAGCGCCCCCAGGGACTCGTAGGCCGAGTTGAAGGCGGCCTCCCATTTCTCGGTTTTGGGCACTTGGTGACCATTGATGAGGATGTACGACGAGGCGGCCCAGACGCGCTCGGGGGCGCCCTGGAGGCTCCAGGGGGGTTCGGAGGGGAGAGGGGAGAAAGTTAAGGAACGTGTAAGTGTGTATGTGTATGTGCGTGTGTATTGGATACCACCCTGTAACAACATCATATACAAGACATAATCTGGTAACGCCTACACGAAAACACTTACATACACACATACATACATACCCACAGGCGGCTGGCAGAGGTTAAGGCCTGACTTCTGCTCCCGGCAGACCCGGGTTCAAATCCGCCTGCTGGCTCCTCGGGTAATTGAGGAGTGTTGAAATGGGAGGTGGCCCCCATCATATGGACGATGTAGGACGTGTTAAAATCAACTTGCGAGCTACCCGGAAACTAAGTTGATGCGCCGTTGAACCGCTAGATTTGGTTGGATGCTGATGGTGAGTTGCCGAACCCAACGAATACATTCTGAAGTCGGATGGGGTGCCGGATTAGGGTGCCCCTCTAGCAGGGGAGAGCAGGGACTGCCCCGGGAAAGGGGGCCGCTGGCGAAGTTAACCACCCTGTAACAACATACATACAGGCAGACAAAGACAGGCGTACATACACACCTTCATGAGCAGCAGTGGACGCGTATCGCCGTCCTTCCTTTGGTCATGAATGCCGATCTGCAATTGTCGTACATTGTCGTCGTACGAGAGAGCACCAAACGTTTTGCCCGAATGCAGGGAGGGTTGGGAGGAGGGGGCCCCGGGAGATTAGGAGTCAACCAATTAAGATTGGACTTAGGGTTTTACAGACGGGTAGACAAACAAACGGGGGTTGGTTGTGGGCCGGAATTACCCCCGGGTACAACGACTGACATTGAGACAGGATCACATACGATCTGAAATGTAAACCGAGGAGTAAGAGTAATAGGAGTAGGAATATCTTATATAGGCACTATAACCCATATGTATGCACTACTACAACCCACCTGGTATTTGTTGGTCGAGTTAAATTTGATTTCGAACAGTTTGGGATATTCGGCCCGGTACTTCTTCACGTCATGCAGCAGCTGGACCGCCTTGATGAGGCCGCTCTCAGAAGCGTCGCCTGAGAATAGAAGGTGTGAGAAGGGACCATGGTAATTATGGTAATTAGGGTTTTTAGGGCTATAGGTTGCATTTTTTTGTTGGTTGGTGGTTATGACGGTTAGTTAAGGCGGTTGGCGTCTTGTGATGTGGGTTTACAACGATGTCAACCGTTTTTTGTTTTATATTTTTAATCATGTTGTATATGTTTATGATATAATATTCATGGATGGGGCCCAGGGGACGGCCGACCTGTCGTCATTACCGCGCAGGAAGGAGCCTTGTCGAATGGACAGCGATGCAAAGATGAATCCTTCAAGTCGTTCATACATTGCATATATTAAAACGAACCCCGTACCAAATCGTACACACAATCGTACGGACAGACATATGTACGCACGCACACCTGTGGTCTGAAGCCCCAGGAGATTGAAATCCGAGCTCAGCGCCTCCTTCTCTAAATCCAACAGAGGCCGAGTCGGATCGAACTTATCCTGCCAAATTAGTCCACAGCGCATTATGATTTGTTAGCGATTATGCATAAACGTGATGCAGTAAAAGCGGAAAGCGCTTCCTATACAAGCAACAGCATTGACGCATCTGCGTGTCCATTTTGTTGGTCATGATCAAAACAACCTGACATGAAGAGGATATGAAGGAGGCCAAAATAAGGTCGAAACTCGGCAAAAGAGAGGGTGCGGGCGAGAACAGGTCTCTAGGTGGATTTATAAAGGTAGGTACGGCAGTAATCATAGCCGGTTCACCCACCTGCACAATTACCCAGAACAACAATAACCAATAACAACAATAATAATTATATAACAAAAGGAAAAAACCCGCCCACCAGTAACCGCAACCCCAACCATATTCAGAACCATGTTTAAGATCGTACCTGTACGATAAAGTCCGAGTTATTGCACAACGTTGCAATTCGCTGCAGCATTTGGAAGGAGGAAGTCTTCGGATCAAAGAGCGGCCAGCCCTGAAGGCCTGTGCAGCAACATGCCCAGCCCGGGGGTGTGGGGGGGGCGACAGGGATTTGAAAGGGTGATGGTGATCAGGGAGGTGCACACGTAGGCACATGTTGCAGGCAAGTGTGTTGGAGGAGGGAACTCCGAAGGCGACCAGGAGGTCAAGTGCTGCACAGGAAAAAATGGTCCTGCCTTAAGTTCTATCTACAAGCAAAATGGTTTAATCACATTCATTTTTGACAACAAACTAAAACAAAACAAAATCAAATAAAACAAACATAACAAAACAAAAACAAAACGTAAAATAAAAATTAAAAACAAAACGACTTGTGACGGACCTTTCTTTTCGGAATCAGCCATCATCTTCTGAAGCTCCGGCATGTTGCGAGCCGCCGGCACGTCGTACAGCTGGTTGTCGTACCTGCCACCATAACGTACGTCCAAATATAAAACTCGGTTTTTTTATTGTCATCGCTCATCTCATCTCATCTCGCTCATCACCCCCCAAACACACACACACACACGTCTCCCCTCCCCTCCCCTCCCCTCCCCTCCCCTCCCCTCCCCTCCCCTCCCCTTCCCCCCAGCGTCCATCCCCCCGAGCCCCCTCCGCCGTACCAGCAATGCTGCACAGTCATGCGGTTCTGTGTTAGCGTTCCGGTTTTATCCGACGCGATGACTGTCGTACAGCCCAGAGTCTCCACTGATTGAAGGTTCTTGACCAGCACGTTCTTGTTGTGCATTCTCTTGGCGGTTAGCGCCAGGGCCACCGTCAGGGTCACCAGGAGACCCTCCGGGACAACGGCCACGATGACGGAGATGGCGAATACCAGAGCCTGTGTGCGTGTGCACGTATGTATGTATGTATGTATGTATGTGTGGGACAGGGGGCCATATCTTCACCCTGCGGCCGCTACCTGGCGAAACCCTGCCTTCCCCGGTATTTCGGGGCACCCTCATCCAGTCACCCGAGGTCAACTTCTCAGTGGTTCGCTCAGGTTCCGCACCCACCACCAGGATCCAACGGATCTATGTGTACGTATCTATGTGTACGGATGTATGTGTACGAATGTATGTGTCCGAATGTATATACGGGGCAGTGGGCAGGGGAGGCAAGGTACTTGGGACTCCGAAGAGTATTCGCGAAGGTGGTCTCCGATGATAATGACAGAGTGCCCGGCTTCCATGTAATCCATGCATGGTACAGCCTTAACAGCCTCAGGGCTCCGCGCGATGTCTATTTCCGAAAAACCGCGGGCGAGAGAGAGGATGCCACCCATCTCCAGCCCCCAAACCCATCCCCATCCTCATGCCCATCCCCATCAAATCGGGGTATTGGCGCTAAGCCAGGCAGTGGAGAAAGCCGTGGGGAGGTGCGCGCCGTAGAATACATGTACGTAGGTACGTCCGTATGTATGTCTCTCTGAGTTATTCTAAGATGAGACATATATTTTATCCCCGTAAATCGTGCAGACAAATCACCCAAAGCAAATGCTTAGTATGTGCAAAAAGTAATCCAGACACGGTTGCAAAGCACCCCGCGCACCTGTACGACAGTCATGACCCCCAAGCCGATTCCCACAGCCAAAAACACGATACCGATGGTGATGGCGATGCCAGAGATGATGGTGATGAAGCGGTTCACCTGCGGCAGTCACAGTGCGGAAGTGTGTGTGTATGTGTGCCTGTCTGTATGTCTGAATGGAAAGGACGGGACATGAAGGGGTGTACGGAGTACGGGAACGCTACGACAGGGACCTCTACCTCTACCTCTATCAGGCTCGCCACCTCCCACGGAAGCAAGCACAACTTTCCCCTGCCCGCAGGTACCTCTTCGCCTGGTGGGACGACCCCTAAAAGCGGTAAGGCAAACTACTCAAGAAAACCCTAAAACCCAAATCACCACATACCGCGACCTGTCCTTAGAAAACCCGTATGTCACGAGCAACACGAGTTGGAAGGAAACTTCATACCCACAGGCCGCCCAAAAACCCGCAAACCCAAAAAACCCAAACCCAAAAAAACGTAGTCAACCGTCCGTACTCACCTCCCGTACAATTGGCGGTTGGCTATCCCCTTGGGTCTCCCCGGTAAGCCCGGCGATCTGAAACGGGGTCCAAGGGGAAGCAGGGCCCGGAATTTTTGGATCTTTGAAGTTTTGTGGAGATCTTAGGCAGGCAAACCCAGCTCCCCTTTGCTCACCTGCCCCATCACGGTATTATCTCCCGTACCAATGACGACACCCCGGCCGTGTCCCGAGGCCACGATGGTGGAGTAAAACAGCAGATTGGTGGCTTCGATGGCGGGAATCTGGGAGAGGGGGGGGAGGAAGGCGGGAAAGGGGAGAAAACGTGTTTTGATACCCTATCCGATCCAACCACCGCAACCAGAACCTAGCAACTTCCCCAACAACCCGAAGCGGGATTGTTCATCCTTAAACGGAGGCCCATCACCACCATAAATAAACGCTTTCCATTACCACAGCGCGCGCGACGACCCATACGACAGCCGTACATGTGCCGTACCTTGGCCTTGGGTTTGCCGGACCCTCCCTCCTCAATGTCTCCCGCGTGGTTGGTGACGTGTAGGGTTGGGCCGCGTTCACAAGCCTCCGATTCGCCTGATGAGTTTGTGAATGTGAGAGTTTCGTGGGGAGTATTGAGATTTTAGGAAATTTGGGCTTACATAGCAAGGCACGGGGTAAGAGAGGGGAGTTAAGCCGTACAGCGACACTCTAACAGATAGATCAACGACATTGTGTTTCATTACGTCCTCCTTAAACAATCATTGCACCTCCTAACCCCTTCGTAAGGATGTACGGATGTACGGACGTACCAGTCAGTGCCGAGTTGTCCACTTTGAGGTTGTACGAATCGATAACCCTGACGTCAGCAGGGACTTGGTCGCCCTCCTGTAAGGCGGTTGGAGTCGGTTAGTAGTTGTGGCGGAATGGCCAAGGGTTCCTGGCCAAGGGGCAATGGGGCTGCTGAACCCAAATTTTGGGTCAGTGTGTCGCCCGAAGCTCTGTTGGCGCATGACCCCAAAATCCCAAACCCTAACGTCTGTCTGACCCAGATCAGACCTGATCAAATTACACCAAATCAAATCAAAAATCACATCAGCCATCAGGTCAGAGGTGGGCAACTGTAGTTGACATCCTCCCGCAGCGGGGTGGAGGAGGTCATGCATTAGCATGACGCGCTTGTCTGATCGCCCCATATCAACCCTGAGTCCGCAAACCATTTGTGCACATTGACACCCAAAACTCTGCTGGTGTGGCCGACACACGTGAGACCCAGATCAAATGCAGGCGAGCACCAAATCCGCGTCGGAGTTGGTCCATAACCTCTAACCGCTAACCACTAACTGCCAACGACCTCTAACCTGGAACTCCACTAGATCTCCGGGGACGAGCTCCACGGCATCTAACACGTTGGCTGCCCCATCCCTCACCACCTTGCACTTCTTAGGGATCAGAGATTTAAACCCGTCCATAATGGCCTGAGGGGGGGGGAATGAGGAGAGAGGGGAAGGGAACCATGTCCTATACAAGCTGTGCTATATAGGCAATATATACAAAGATGAAGATAACAGGATCAATATCATGAAGAGAAGGGCCAAACGGGAACAACTAGTGCTGCTACGATTTAGAAGTTATAGTTGTGAAGTTAGTTAACTTATGTAACCGCGCTGGCCGGCGGCAATACAAATAGTAACTTGTACACGGTTCGAATCGCACCGAGTACGTGAATTATCACTCTGACCTGCGACTTCGCCTCTTGAAAATATGCAAACGTGGAGGAGATGAAGACCACCGCGATGAGCACCGCCCCCAGGTACAGATTGGAAGCATCGGACTGGTCGATGCCATACGCTATGAAGCACAGGATGCCACCCGCGATGAGCAGCAAGGAGAAGAAGTTGGTGTACTGCTCCAAGTACAGGACCCTGTACAACGACAAGTTGTGAATGATATTGAAGCGGTGGCGGTGCGTGCATGAGAGCTTTTAGGAGAACGGTGACGTTGGTGAAAAAAGGGCTAGGAAGTATGCATGTGGCAAGGACCCTATTTCCTATGATGAGGCAGCACCCAGGAGCTTGATTTTGCTCAACTGGTGACTTGGGCGACAGAGCCTTCCGGGAAGTTTATCGGGAACCTGGCGGATGGATGGAGAGGCTTCTGCCCGGTCGTGGTGAATTAGGACAGCATCGTGCGGCTGCTCGGAACACCCACCATGCCGGTTTGACTTTCGGTGGCGTCAACCGATTTGGGCCGTGTTTTTGGCGACTCTCGAGAACTTGTGCCGACGTAAGTCCTCTCTCTAGAGAGACGCTGTACTCCGCGGCGAGCTCATCCAAACTAAACTCATGGGCGACAATCGGCAAGTCCTTTCGAAGGTTCTTCTGCTTATCTGAGTCGCTCTTGGAATTGTTTTTGATGCCGAAGCAACGCTGCCCTCCGCTCTTATCATCAACCATTCTGCGTCGGGCCTCGCCGGCAAGACCTACACAGGCCTGCGGGACGCTCTACACAAGCACAAAGTTATCGTTTCTTGATGAGGGGGTAAAATAGCTTTAATCGTTCACATTACAATAAGCGAAAGCAAGCGCACCTTTGTTATGTTGGCCTCAACACCAGGTCCTGCACTAGATGGTTACCTGCTAGTACGCAATACTGCGACCAAGAACTCAAATCCAGAGCCAGTAAGTATTCCTATTAATTGAGAAGTTAATATACCTCATAATTATGGCGGTTCGTCGGTGGTGGTAGATGTTTTGTTTTAAAGCAGGACATTACTGTTTCTTAAAAAGGCGTCGACTGTAATTCGTGTGGGTCTTCCAAGCCCCGTAAAATTGTAATCGCGACCAAAACGCTATTATGCTGCGTGTCAGTGCCATTTGTGAAGGAATCTTTTGGCCGTATTCATAACGATAACCAACTGCATCCACCAATAAGTCGAACAGCTCTCAGGTGCTTTAAACCTTGATTTATCTATGTATCAGAAATATTTGTTATCCACGGCCTAAATTTACAAACCTTAACGGCAGAAAAGGCAATTGTCCGGGGACACAGAATATATACGTTTCGCCACCAAGATACATCGGCGGCAAAAATGGCAAATCTCGACGGTGTTGGATCGTCTCAAGTAGTAAGTGATTTTTTCGAACGAACTCAGAAGGCTCTGCTTGCAGGTCCTTCTGTCAGGACTGACCTGCGTCTGACTCACGTCTGACTTCCAGGCCATTTCATTGGATCATTCAAAGAGGCGATTTTGTTCATGTTTCGATATGTTTCAGACATGTAAGCCATGAGCTGACTGGGGCGGGCTCTCTACAAGTGGCTGCTCATGCAGCCCTGATTCCAAGCGACATTTCGTTGTGTAAATTTGGGAATGTATGGGAACCTAGTACTTCCTCTTCATTCTCTTGACCTGATAGGTGGCAGGTAACCAGCTCCGGACTTGTTGTAGTACCTGCTCACCTTGCCTTTGCGCCAACCCAAATTCAACCCAGGGCAATACAACAAGAGGGACAGGGCCCTTTGCCTCTCGTATCTCCAAAACAAATAACTGAAGATTCTTTTCGGCACCATGGCATTCCGAAAGGCAATCCACTTCCCCAATTAAAGCCCCGTAATTCCACAAAATATAACTCCTCCCTTCCCTTTTTCCCAGGAGCATCCCATGTCGCCGCGAGCATGCTCCATCCCCGCCCCGCTCTGTTCTACACCCACGCGCACCCACCCACCAACCCATCCTCTCTCTCCCCCTACTCTTCCCCGCTTCCCTTCGCCATCTTCGCACGCAATCGATGCATGCCCTCTACTTACACCACTTTACCCTCTCACCCCTCACAGTCGGCCTGTTGGCCTACTTTATTGGCCTGTACGCCCTCTACGCTGGCTTCTTCGCAGCACTTATAACAATCGCGCTCAACATTCGGAAGGACAACTATATGCGTAAGTGCTTGCAATAAAATACTTTTAATAAAAATACACTCTCTTGTACGGCACCAAAGTACAGCCCGGCTAGAGAGCGTCATGTTGCAAGCTTGTAGCCGTTGGGTCCTCAGTACGCGGTGTAATGGGATAATCTGAAGGGGGAGAGGGAAGAAATTATATTGCGTCGTCATCGCAGCGTGTGTAATAGGTGTCTAATGCGTCTGTTTTGTCTGTCGTGCAGCATGACTTTTCTATTTCTGGCTCTTTGCCTCTTGTGCTGCCTTTCCTTGATGCATCCTCACCTCCGCACATCCTTACACAGAATAATCCTCAAAACAAATATTGCCAACATTTCGAAAACACTTTGAAACCAACCGATGCAGATCTCAACAAGGAGCTCACGGGACACTTCATTGCAGATGGCGCATACACGACACCTTGGTTATGGCTCCGAGACCACATGCAACAACAGCTGCAGAAGTAGCAGCACTCAGGGGACGGGCCTGGAATGTGGAAGAGCCCCGGGAAGATGTGCTTCGGGAGGCTTGGGCAGAACGCGATGTGGGTTATATGTTGCGTTGTGCGATGAGCATCGGGGAGAAGTTGAACCCAATTATGTGGTGCGTTTGAGTGGAGCGGGGTATAGCTGAGGGTGGAATATTTGCATGGAGTAAATTAGCGTTAGAAGTGCGACCAAGGAGTGCGGAGGACGAGGAACTGAAGACGGCTGAAGCATGTCAGTCCTTGGACGTGTACTGGAGAAGGCATTGGTTGGGGTAGAAACGGAATCTTGGTTGTGGGCTTGCCTCGGAATTGTGGGAAGAGCTGCGAATACGAGCAACGGCTTGCAGGATTGCGCTAGTTGCTCTCAGACTCATCTTGGCTGGATTTTGCGATGGGTTTTGGGTAAGGATTTTCGTATAAAAAGACATTTGCTTTCAATCTGAGGCCTTCGATTCCGTTTGGAAGCTGTTTGGATGCGCGAAGTCTGGTACTGCTCCGGCACCAAACGATTGAGCTCCGACGGGCTGCACGCCATCATGGATATAGATATTCAGGGCCTAACAGCTGACATGGATGAATCATGATTATTCACGTGTGTGTAACCTGGAGGAATCTATGAGTCAGACCCTGCACCTTGCCCTCTGGCAGGTACCGGTTTAAACCGAAATGCCAACTTGAGGAATTGCAGGAAATTGGAAATCCAGCATTTCAAAACCAGCATAGCTAATATTGGCAGCAGCATCAATAGAATTAGCTAAACAAGCTTTAACGCGCACGTAGCCTGAAGCCTTGTTCGCACTCGCAACTACATTGACAGTGCCGGGGGCCCGTCGGATGGCATAGGAACCCGATTATGATCCCGATGGTCATCTTTCCTCAAGTTGCTTTACGCTTAAGTTCAAATACTGCATTCTGGCTTCGGTAACGTACGCACTGTCCGAAGCGTTCCCGATATCTGACGGGAACCTCAAAGAAAGATATGTTTGTATATAAAACCATCATGACACAGTATATCGAACAATAATTGAGTTGAGATGCGTTTCGCGTCATGGGCTCGGCCAAGAGTCGTACGCGCGAACGTCGTCTGCGACGTTTTACGGCACAACTCTGAATCTAGGATTGCGACAGCACAATTGTGTTAGCATATGGGTGATCAGGTAGAAAGCGTACCTTAGGAATTCAATTGGGAAGGCGCACTGGAATGGCCGAACCTGCAAGTGAGCCCCCGTCTGGACCCTCAGCCCACAGCTCACATGTTTATGAGTTCAAAGAATTAGATAATGATAACTTGAAGAACCATCTGTAAGTTGAACCTGTGAGTTGTAGTATTATTCGTCTATCTCCCTTACGAGTGAATATTCCGGAGGCCTTGCAGGGCTGACGACGCAGCTTGGGCATCTGACCTAATTACAAAGCTGATAACCACTGGCGGCGATGACGCCATGCGGCCTGGGATAGTGAACGCCTGTGAGGTGCGTGCTTCGCGGCACCGGTGAAACCTAAACGTTTCGGACAGCTGCCCGAGGCACCATGATCCAAATCATAATTTATACTTCATTTGTTGAACATGCCTTTTTGCACGTGCCTCCGTGCAGCGCTGTGAATGGCCGAAAGTGCAAAATATCCTTTTTGACCCTTCCATGGACAACTCACTACCTTCTCATGCTCGCGCTTACGCACACCCGTAGGGTCTCGCCTTCGTTAAAGCAGCTAAAGGCGGGCTGGGCTTAACCGTCGCCCGTGGATCCGGATTCGTCATTCGCAAGCTAGACCAGGTACAACTGTACGGCATTTCCCCAAATTCCATACGTATATGGATGCCGCGGGCGGCTGCAGGACGTGAAACTTAACATTACAGGAGCTCTTAATTCTTCTCCTGCCGCGACGGACCCCGCCATGTGGACGGGATGGCCAGGTCTATGTCACCAGGCACGGCGTTTTTTATCCTTACCAGCACATCCTGATCTCATATTCCATCAAATCGAGCCCTCCTCTCTTCATGTGTTTCCTAAAGCCCCCCAATTTCGCGCCGACTCCGACTCCGACTCCGACTCCTAACCCGCTTAACCCTCTTTAAACCTTGACGGACGCGGGGCGGCCTCCTTTAAGTGATCTCAAAGCATTACGATGCTAATTGTACGGTCTTATCCCCATGTAACGCTTACTGGACCGTCTATCTAGGGTATCTGCTGCATCCGCCAGTGGTTCATCTCACCCCCCAAACCCCCTTTCCCCCTACCCCCGCTCTTCTCCCCTTTTTCCCCCCTTCTCCCCCCCCCTCCCCTTTTTGACCCCCAGGACCGTTTCGGCAACTCCCGCTGGTCACCCCCGGTGTACTTCACGGTGTCTCAAGTGGGTTTCGGAGCGGCGGTGGGATATGAGGCGGTAAGTGAGGCCAGGGGGGGCTGGCCAGGGGGATGTGTGTGTGTGTGTATGTGTCAAGAGGTACGTGCGGTAAAGGTGCGTGTACATGTGTGTTGGGCGATGACCTGTTTGAGGGGAAAGTGCAGAGGCTGGATGGAAAGAGGGACACTTTCTTTTGGTGAGTGGTTTTCCTGTCATGTCTGTCTGTGTTTTCTGTGTTGTTGTGTTGATTTTGACTAGGAAACGCGAGGTGATGATGGCGAGGGGGAAAAGTTTAGGGAAGCCTTGTTGAGGGTTGTGCCCTTATTGCCTTCCCGTTCACCCCACCATTAGTTTTGGCGGCTAGGTAGGTAGTTTTCCGTTGTCGTCATCACTACATCATCCCGAGGACGGCTTCTTCACAACCGCCGACTGCTCGGTTGTCTGCGTCCGTCCTGTACATCGGCCGCGAAGCGCTCTTTCCTTGGCAGCAGCTTCACTCGTTCACGTGGTTCGTCTTTTCCCCCCTCTTCCCCCCTGTCCCCCTTCCCATCGCCTTCGCCCCTCCCCGCTGCTGCCCAAAGGTCCATTCCGTACTGGCGCTGATGTCGTACAGCTCCATCCTGAGGTTCACTCAGGACAAGACGGTGATCGGCACGGACCTGGGACTCGTGACTACGGAAGGCGCGATGGGGGGTGTGCCGGCTGGAACCTTTGGTCGTACAAGTCACATGGACGTGCAGGTACGGATGATGTGTATGTATGTATGTATGTATGTTGTTACAGGGTGGTTAACTTCGCCAGCGGCCCCCTTTCCCGGGGCAGTCCCTGCTCTCCCCTGCTAGAGGGGCACCCTAATCCGTCACCCCATCCGACTTCAGAATGTATTCGTTGGGTTCGGCAACTCACCACCAGCATCCAACCAAATCTAGCGGATCAACGGCGCATCAACTTAGTTCCTGGTCAGCTCGCAAGTTGATATTATCACGTCCTACACCGTCCATATGATGGGGGGCCACCTCCCATTTCATCACTCCTCAAACACCCGAGGAGCTGGCAGGCGGATTTGAACCCGGGTCGACTGGATCGACTGGGAGCAGAAGTCAGGCCTTAACTTCTGCCAGCCGCCTGACTATGTATGTATGTATGTATGTATGTATGTATGTATGTATGTATGTATGTATGTATGTATGTATGTATGTATGTATGTATGTATGTATGTAGGTTCGAACGTAGTGTTGACATGGCCACAGGGCTTCGTCCGAGCAAAGGATAACAGTGGTTAGAAAAGTGGATTTTTGAAGGTGCCCGTGTCGCTCTGTGTTTTGTGTGCTTGTGTGCATGTGCAAATATGGACGAACGGTACCGTGGTCCAGTATCCGCGAGCCGTACGAAGGAAACACGTCATCAATCACCCCGCTAACGCATCTTTTCTCATGTCTCTTAAGGATTTTTACGGCACCATTGTACATTTTTGTCTATTCGTGCGTTTAGCGTCGTTAAAACGGGTTTCAAAGAATTAGGGTTTTCTTTTCTTTCCTTGCGTGCTGCTTCTTTCATTCCGTTACGCCATAAATATTACAAAATAGATAAACATCAAATAAAACGTAATGTCGTCATATTTACACCTTCCCGTTGCTTCTTAAACGAGTAATATACGTCATCATATATATTCATATGTTCCATACCTTTTCCAGGCTGACAACAGCAGCACGGTGTTCGCGTACAGTCTCTCAGCCGGGCTGCTGGTCAATCTTTCCATCAACGGTGAGGGGGCAGCTGGGTGGGGGATGTAAATCTGGACGGACGACACACACACACACAAGGGGTAAATTGCAAAGTGTTGGTGTAATGTGGTAAGAGTTGTTTGTAACCATCTTTAATGTCTGTATGCATGTATGTTGTGTGAAACAGGGGGGTGTATCTTCGCCCGTGGCAGCTACCCTGCGAAACCCTGCCTTCCCCGGTATTTCGGGGCACCCTCATCCAGTCACCCTAGTCAATTTCAGGTTCCGCACCCACCACCAGCATCCAACGGAATCTGCCGGGTCGACATCGGCCCAACTCCATACCTGGGCGGCTTGCAGGTTAACTCTGTCCCAGATCACCATCGTCCATCAACTAGGGGCGCATTGCCTTCCACCATCGGAAGGCCTTTGACCCGAACGGGTATCGATCCCGGGATCTCCCGGGGGCAATGGTCGCGCCTTACCAGTGGTGCCAAACCCTATATTATATGTATATATGTATGTCATGGCCGTTTGGCGCAATGGTACGGGAACTAAAACGCCCGTACACCTGAGCACACATGTGCCCAGCATATTCCTGTCGGGGCCAACCGCTACCCGTTATTCTCCCAATCGCTCGCTTCCCGGGTGTCCTCGCATTGCTTGTTCAGGCACTGAGATATGGCCTAATCAGGAGTTCAACAACAAGCTGTACGGCGATACACCACTGGAGGACATACTGAACGGCAAGGTCGGCACATTTAAGGAGTTGCTTCCTCTGTACCGCAAGATCTCCGATACCGGCAGGAATGCCGTACCATAGCGCCTTGGTGCGAGGCCCGCGATGTAACTCGCTCACGACACGCGGCACGACAGGGGGCGTCTTCCCCCTCTCTGTCGCCGACTTTTGAGTGATTGCGCAGATTCGATTGGTTGCCTCCATTTCTGGAAATGGAGAAGAAGTAAAGAGAAGGAATTTGTATTTGTATAGCATTGTTTGCAAGGCTTTCCAAAGCTTTTCGTATTCCAAAGCTTTACGTAGGTCGTAGGAAGAAAGGTAAAGAAAGGAGAACAGCACTGCAGGACTGATGGCACGGGTTTTAGGACTCGTTATACCTGCTGAGCTGCAAGAGGACCTCGTCACGCATCTGGCACCTGACATACATACGGACCCAGTTGGAGTTTTAGGGATAGCGATCAATCAGTAGATTTTACCTTGATGTTGACTGCGTATGGTGATATGATATGGTGGTGCCGGCGCCGGCACATTTGCAGTCATGTGTGTGTGTGTGTGTGTGTTACATGGTTGAGGGTGCGTGACCCCATACCTGTAAGACTACCAATCGCAGTCATGTGCCGACCAAGTCAAAACTTGTATAAGGAATCGAAAAAAAGGCAAAAAAGCTATCGGGGGTGATTTCCTTTTCTTGTCTTGCCAGTCGCCAATCTTCCTCACAAAATGTGCCAGATCCCGGATGCCGTACAAATGGGATTCGGAGCTGCTGAAGTCTTTGGAGACGACAATATATATAGTGTGTCACACTTGCGGTGTTTTTGGGCGGGGCCCCAGCGCGAAGCGCCCAGGGGGGCCCCGACCTGTAGGATTGCCCATGTCCGTGTCCGTGTGTGTGTGTGTGTGTGTGTGTGTGTGTGTGTGTAACGGACCAAACATAACATCTCGCCCGGCTGAAAAACGCGTTATAGGTACTATATAGCATTCTCTATTGCAAGGTATCTCGCATGTAGCTAACAAAGACCGTATGAGCACAAACAACTTTGGCTGCCTCCATTGACCGAGCTCATAGTCACATCAACGCCTCTCGGGCTAAGTTTCATCTCAAAAAGGCGCCGTGCCTCTCATCATTGATTTCCGAGATGACAGCGTATGATAACTTGAACACCCAGCTTGTGTTACCATTTGCCGGCATGAGCATTCCGACTTGCCACCAGCAGGCCGACAAATTTGCTTACATTTCTCTATGGAATGCGCAACCTGCTCATTTGTACATTTACTTTAGCCAATGCTCGGGGCCTCCGGAGACTTGCGGTGTGCCCCGATGAAGCCCGCGGCTGTGGGGCGGATTGCTGAGGCCGCTGGCGCTTCGGGGATAAACATCACAGACAGCACCGGAATTCACCCAGCTTTCGTTACCATTTGCCCGCACGGGCATTCCGACTTGCGGTCTGCCGCACTGTCCATGCGGCATGCACCCGGGATGGATGCGATTCGCGTGGCGCCCGCAGACGGTGCTGACGATTCCGCCGGTGCAAGCTTAGCTCTCACACCATCAGCACTGCTGCAACAAAGCACATCTCCCACCGCGTTGACACTACCCATCAATTGTCACACGTGCCACGCTAGCTACCGGCCTGTACGGATGCAAGGGGGGCCCGCCCTTTTTCCGGCTTCGAGGAAGCCGACACCCAACTTGTCTGGTGATAGTGTGTAGCAGGGTTCGACACTGAAACTTGCGGGATCCCCCGTACCTCCCAAATTTTCCTTACGGAGGGGCCCCCGTACCAGCCTCCTGTACTGGCCGAAAACCTTACGGGGGCCCCCGTAACCCCGCAAAACCTTTACGGGGACACTGTCCTTGGCTAAAACGCTGTGGAAAGTGACACTTTGCATTTTTTTTGCCCTGCAAATCGTTATTTATGTTATTTTCGCGTGAACGATTACACACGGGGGCATGGCACACTCAGCGAAAGCCAAGCGCCTGTACGGGGATACCGAAAAAAAGGCCAAAAACTTACGGGCCCCGTACGGGGTGTCGAACGCTGGTGTGTAGTCGCCAAAATGTTATTAAAGATCATGACCACAAACAATTTCGGCTCTCACTACCAAGCCCCCGCCAAACAGCGTTTTCCAAAAAATTGCGGCAGTACGGCAATACACACACGCCCCTCTCCCGTCCGCGGGAGAGGGCTTAGGCAGTCTTTCCGCTGGGGCTAGGGAGCAGCCCCCGCCCAGTGTCGTCAGGCCCGGTCAGATAGATATTCGTAACCTTCACACACATACACGTACATATACACACATACGTACATATACAGACCTACGCATACATGGAAAAAAACGATAGTAAGCCCAGGGCCAGCAGAACTTGTCGAACATGATATTGCATAAGGCACGTTGGCGCTCACCCGACACACATGCAGACATACAGACTATCAGGCAAGCCTGCACTTGCGCACATGCAGCGGTCAATTTTCGCCGTCCCCTCCCCTTACGCTCCGTCTCCTAGCCAAAACCTGTAGCCTTGTCCAGGGCACGGACAAAGAGCCGCAAAAAAGGGCGCGCACGCCATCTCGTACATCGCATACATACAAATACAAAATACATACATACACATGAATACTCACACACACAAGGCACATCTGGTTTATACCTGGCAAGCACACTGCCTGGTTTTACGATACGCACAAAAGCACCTCAGAGGGCCACATACATGGAAAGGGAACCGCCAGTAAAAATCAGTTTGAAAAAAGTTTAAAACGTTTCCTTGGAATGTCCGCAGTTACGCTTCTCAAGTAGCCGCCTTAACTACAACCTTTTTTAAAAACGACGGCAACCATCATATCGCATGGCGAATGGAGAGCCGGCGCGTACCGTAGGGATACATTGTTTCCAAAATATTTTAGATATAAGGTTTCTTCCAGTTCAATCTACGTCCAGGTCCCAGACATAAGAGAAATTCCACCCCAGTTTTAAAAGCTATAGTTTGCCGTGCCTTACAACGCGACAACACAGTAAAATAACAGTCCTAACTCAGTATACACTTAGTCCTCTACAGTACCTACCAGCGCAGCTCAGTTCATAATATTTTTGCCGTACATCCCCGGTGGGAAGTGAACAGCGCACAAACTGGGTGACCAAAACGACGCGTGAAACATAGCCCCGTGTCGATGTCCTCCCGGTGGTTCTCCGCTGTTGCTCCAAGATGATAATGGTGCTGATGATGGTGCTGATGATAATCATGAGGATGATGATGTTGATGTTGATGAGGAGGGGGAGAAGGAGGAGGAAAGGGGCGTCATGTTCATTCGCAATGGCTAACGCTTTGCACAACGGGCCCCAAACAAGTCACGGCCTGCCTGCCGCTCGAAAATGGACCAGGTCTCAGATCTCCTCCGTGTCCAAAGACGGGAGGGGAAGGGAAGGGGGTGCAGAGAACGCAACGATGCAGAGCGTGCCTGTGGCTGCTGGCTGCATTCCTCGTTCCCAAGGAACAGGTGCGCGGAAGAAGCGCTGCTGGCGGCGTGTGGAATGTTGGGGGCCATTACCCGGCCTTTCCCTTAACAGGACCTGTAAATGCAAAAAATAATGAACATGATAATATTTCTTTTGAAGGAAACTGCTAATTGTCACTTCGCCTCTGGGGTTAATGCTGCAGTACAGACCAAAGCGCCTTTGTGGTCAAGGGGGGAACGACAGGATACGACAAATCCAACCACCACGGCCAACAAACTACCGGACTACCGGTATTTCACAAACCACCCTATTTGCTCAGTTCCGACTCCGTTCCCTAATTTTACATCTCAGCGTTGGCCAGCACCACCAGCACCACCACCGTTGCCCGGGAAGAGGCCGCCGAATAAGCGGCTCATGGGCCGACTGACGCCGCCGCCGCCGCCGCCGCCGCCAGCGGTGGCAACGGTGGCAGCGCTCTGAGGATCTGACATCCGAGGTGAGATGTGGCCGATGATATTCTCGGAAGAAACCGTTACAAGGGCTCCCGCCCCGCCGCCGCCGCCGCCGCCGCCGGAGGATGTCGACCCGCCAGACGCCGCACGCTGGAAGCGGTAGCTACTAGCTCCGGAGTTCGGCGCCGAGCCGCCGCCGCCGCCGCCGCCACCACCGTCCTCTGCAGCGCCGCCGCCAGAGAATGACCCAAGGCTGTTTTCGGAGCTCCTTCCGCGGCTGAAGGAGCAGATGTCCGCGGCGAAATGCACGCTGTGGAGGAAGGCCGTTACGGCGGTGACGGTGGTGGCGGCGTCGCTGCCGCTAGCGGTGTCGGTCTGTCCGCCCATGTTGCGTTGCATCGACTGTCTACACGTCCATCCGCCTAGCGGAGCGCCGCCGGACACACGCGGCGCTGGCGGCGGTGACTGCTGCTGCGGCCGCGGCTGCTGGTTGTAGGACTGGTGTAAATTGACGGTGGCTTGTGACCTGCTGCGGAAGGGCACCACTGGGGATCTAGCGGCCGGCGCCGCCGTCGCCATCACCGCCACCGCCTTTGCCGTCGCGGGCCCCGCTACAGCGGCGGTGGCGGCGTCCATAGCGGCGTCAGCAAGCTCGCCCGCTACTGCCGACATTAACGGCGGCATGCGCGATGGCCAGCAGGAGCTCGGATGAGGAGGAGGAGGAGGGGGAGGAGGCGGTTCCGCCGCCGCTCCCGACGATGACGGGTACCGTGCACAGCCGCCACTTCGCACTGTCGTCGTCGTCGTCGCCGCCGCCGCCGCCGTTCCCGTTGCCATGGAGGAAGTCAAGTCATCTTCCGTAAAATCTAACAAGCTGGTTTCGGAGTTCCAGTACTCAGAGCCGACTCGCCGAGTCCGTTGCTGCTGCAGCGACGGCGGCGGCACCGCTGCCGCCGCTTCCCCAGACGTCGAAACCGAAGTCAGCGGAAGAGAGAGCTGTTGGTGTTGTAACTGGGATTGCGACAGCGAGGTCAAGTTTGTACGTGACTCCCGTCTGCTTGTAGCTGCAGTGGTGGCGGTGGTGGTGGTGATGGTGGTAGCGGCGAAGGGCCGCGGACCAGAATCAAACGAGGCGTCGCCGGTGCCAGTGGCGCCGCCTTGCCTGACGCCGTTGCGGCGCCGATCCCGCATTCCGCCGCTGACGCCGCCGCTGGCGCTGGCAGCCCCGTTGGACGTCTCGTTCGGTCCAGTGGCGGCTCCGCTGCGTTGCTTTCGCGACGGCTGACGTGTGTTGCTACCTAGGGGGCCCACAGCGGCTGAGGTTGAGGTTGAGGTTGCCGTACTGGGCTCATGGCATTTGGCCCGACGGAGGTCGTGCAGCATCTGGCTGACGCGATCCAGCTGTACGACGTCGGCGACGGCGGGGGTTGGATGCGTATCATGGGTCGGCGAGGTGAAGGCTGGGGTGGCGGCCGCGCCAGCGGCACCAGCGGAAGCGTTGGGCGCTTCCGCGGCAGTGGGGGTGGCGCAAAGGGCGCTGCGTCGGGCGGCGGCGGCGGCCCGGGAAACAGATAAGGCGGCGGCGCCGCTGCCAGACACGCCGCTGCTGCTGCGGCGGCGGCCAGGAGCGGTGGGCTCCAGGGGGGATAGCACTCCCTGGCGGGCGCTGGGCTCAGTGCTGGCATCGTCAGCGGCACCGGCCCCGCTGACGTACTCGTTTTGTACGGGGATAGACTCGACGGAGCTGAGTCGTGCGGGCAGTACGGCAGGTCGGGAGTGGTTTTCCAGCCCAGGGATACCCAAGTTTGTGGGCGTGGATTGGCGGCGACGAGTGGCGCGAATGGGCACCGCCGCGGCGGCCGCCGGTCTGCCGTATCTGCGGCCAGCACCGCAGTCGGAATCGTCCGTATCGCTGCTGCCTGTCGACGCTGCCGTCGCTCGGCCGCTATCGTCGGCGCCGTCGGATTTCATACCGAACTCCTCGACGTCGGCCTCCTCATCCTCACCGCCCTCGCCCGAATCGGATGCTTGGATCCGCGAGATATGACGATCGCATGCTGAGTGGCGGCGACGAAGTGATTCGAGGCTCGGGGGTTTGCTGCCGCCACCGCCGCTGCCCGCGGCAAAGCCGGCTCGCGCTGTGCGCGCCATCGTCCGAGTCGTCTGCACGAGCTCCAGCATTTCAGGCAAAGGTTCGATTTCTGATTTAATGGGTTCATGGTACTGCTGAAAGTTTGCAACGCTGGCCAGGTACTCGCCGTCGCCATATTGAAACCTAGACAGTCCGACATGCGGTCGGTACGCGGCAGGTTTGCGAGGCTTGCTGCCAACGTTGGACTTCGAGTCAGCGTGTCTTGACCAGGCTTCATTTAAAATTTTCTCTGGAGCTGGGGGCTTGACTGGGAGCGGGGACGGCTCCTGCGAAGGTGAGTCGTGATGAGGGTGGGCACCCAGAAGGAGGCATTTACGCGAACGGAAAATGAGACTTTAATGTGGGTCCATAGTAGCATGATTGCTTCTTAGACGGCGTATAATTTGCAGTGGCGAGGTAAGCACCGTGGACTCGTTGAAATTGCATCAGGACCGCCATGACGGTGGCGATGTACCCAGCCGCATAAAATAAAAATTTGAAGTATAAATAGCTTATAGTCTCTGAAATATATTATTTCGGATGCATGGCCTCTGGCTTCCAGAGACAAGCAGGGTACTGGAAGGCGATGGTTCATACCTGCACATCGCCATTTCGAACTGACCATATGGACCATGGCACCATGGTACAGACCTAATTACGCCAGCGTGTAATATCTCAGAGGTACGTGCGCATACGATTTTAGGGCTTGTTTGAGCTCTGAACTCAGGTATATGGTGACCTTTCAACATTATGTAAGAAAAATGAATCATCGCAAACTTGTATAGGATCTTAGTTTCGTGACCTCATGTTGTTTGTCATGAAATGGTGTGGTGCTCGTACGCATCTACTAATGTGCGGAAACCGGAAGGTTACGCGCATTTTGAAGCTCACGTAATATGTACTCCTCCAAATCAAAACGGCTCCGTTCTATAAGGCAGTAACTGACCACATGAGGGTTACTGTGACGACTTTAGAGCTGGCTATGGTGGCCCGCCGGCCGTCGGTAGGCACGTACGTAAAAGGTGTCATAACAAGACGACGTGGTCGAAGACGTCAAAGGAACTTCTTAGATGCCTAGTAACCAGTTCATATCTGGGTATTAATTTATCGGAAGGTGTCTTACCATACTGCTGTAAAGGTCCATCTATGCTTCTTATGCCGCGATACCGCGATGCATGCACGTGATTTAATTTATCCTGCTTCACGAACTGTACAGGATGCTACGAATCAGAGCCATTTTTTATATGCAAGATTGAAGTGATCGTGTGCTCCTCTTGCTTTCCGTTCTCCATGTCGACAAACGCAGACATGCTGCTGGCAAGAGGAACGTGAAAGGCGGCTGCCGTAACAGTGTTAGCGCATGCCGACAGAAAATACTCCAACCATGCTAAAAAGATTAATTTGCGCCATGATTTTTTCTTTCCGGGGACGCCATTGTTGGCGAAGCGTGGTCAGGTAATGGCTACATGGCGAACAGAACAGAGCAGGGAAGAGCAAGGGAACAAGTGAACAACCCTCATTGCGTTTACAGGTACCCTCGTAAGGCATCACCATCACCATCACCATTACCATTACCACGAACCTGTCAACGAAATCACACAGCTCTAATCCTCCTCGTCCTGCTTCTCCTCCTCTCTTCGCAAGTGTCTCTCCTCTCGCGTAGAGGTGTAATTCCCTTGTTGTGTTTCACTTGCTTCGTCCCCCGTTCTCTTTCCCCTCAACCCCCTAACACCACCACCAACATCTGCACAACAAAACCCACCCGCACATCTCTGTGCACATCTGTATGCATTCATAAGCACTGAGCCGAAGCGATGATGCACTGGATGGAGGATAAACGGCCATCAGTTCATCCAAATCTTCAGTAAGCTACAGCCTTCTGTGGCTGCCGCCGGCAGGCTGTAGCTTTACTTTGAACACCCATCCATACACCCATCCATACATACACCCATCCATCCATCCATCCATCCATCCATCCATGAATGTGTAAAGAAACAAAGTACTTCAGATGCATGTGACGGTTGGTTCCTCGCCGGTCAGCTTCGCTTCTGTCAGTTTCATTACCCCTCCCCCCCCCCCGGGCCCGCCAAGCCACCCGCCGTTGCGGCGGTTAGTGGCGTACCCAAATACAATTTAGCAAACCAATCCATAGGTGATGACAAGAGAGATTGTCGCTGAAAAGCAGCAACACAGAGGCATCTCCCCATTGGAGTTGTTCAAGCACGCTGCCAATTGGCCACTTCGACACCGCACACCGCTGGCTCTACTCTTCGTGAGTCTGGAGCCCACTGTAACAACCTACCCCCCCACACACACACCGGCTCCGGAAAGGGGTCCATTCGCAGCAGGCTGCTTGCTAATTTGTCAGTTCAACTTATTCGTGCCGCTTATAACTACCGCAATATCTCATCGGCGCACGTTAACCACGGCGATACAGATAATAGCAACGCATTACCTTACCGCATATTACTGCGCATTTCCCCGCAGGACAGGATGGATCGCCGTACTTGCTACGCCGTCCGTATACACCCCGAGGAAATAGTCAATATCAATACTCAAAAAAATACCACTGTTCGTAACTTTGTTGTGCCGATTATTAATACGATATGGCATTAGATGAAGCAGCATAAAATGATTGAGAAAAGCGAAATATAGAACGGCACGGCATGGCATGCGCATCC